TTTGAATACCGCTGGGTCGCTGCTTCATTTATCACCAGTTATGACCCTTTCTGAGGAAGAAAGCAGTGGGAATGTGTTGCTCGGAAAATCTGAGACCATTTGAGATAAGGAAAGTATTCTGAAAATGCAGGATTTATTGCAAAGTAAATCTTGTGAATCTTTTTAATCTACCTCAAACTCTAGTGGGAATTATACACAGATACCTTTGTGTACCAACATGGGGATTCATTGCCCTAATTTTAGTTTTGCTGCATAGTTTCTTTTTTAAAAAATAATTCACTTCAGAATTCCTCCTTTTGTTTTTGCAGGAAAGTAGCATCTGAAGATGACAGGTTTATTGCACAGCTGCTGTCGTTGAGCTTTGTATGGCCCAATAGCATTCTAGGTAATGTTTACAATCACTATCTACCTTCTGTTTCCAGCAGCAAAAACACAGTTCTTACCTAGGGGAGATTCTTTTATACTTTGTCCTCCCATTCTCCATTGTTCTTCACTTGCTGGAACACTTTTCCACTGAGTTGTGTTCTTCTAGAGTTAAGCCGTCTGTGTATTCCATTTGCTCAGTTCCTTACTAATTCATTCTGGCCGTAAAATGGAAATGTCCTGTTCATGTATAAACTTGTAGCTGTTTTGCATCAAGAGCACATGAGTTCAGACTCTAGATAGAAGGCTGCAAATATTGGGGTATAAAGTTACTTTTACAAGGAGTCATGCAACCAGCGTGCCTGCTAATCAGCTATAAATGGCTATGCCTGTTTCTCTAGTTCCATTTGCTCAGTTTCAGTATTTTTGTTTTAAGGGTGCCACCACCAGGAGCTTAGAGAAACAGAAACTTTAAAGACATATAAAAGCAACCCAGCATGACAGAAATTAAGGCGCACTAATACTGTGCTGTAAGATTACGTTGGGTTTGTGTGGAGTGCCAGGGCAAAATGCTGCTGTGAAAATGGGAATGTTAACAGTGTGTCTGTGCTTTGCTTTTAGAGGGGCAACTCATCTCTTGGGCTGAAAATGTTGCAGGTTACCTGTCAGTGTCAACTCAGTCTCCGACACAAATTGGAAGTCTCCTGGTGCATAAACTGATGTCTCTTGTGACACATCCTTAAGGACTGTGGAGGTGGGTGGTATGGCTGGTGATTAAAAGGCGTCATGAGAGTAACATTAAAAAATGGCGAAGTCAGAACAAAATGACTAAGGAAGATAACAAGCATGATACAATACAGTGGTACCTTGGGTTAAGTACTTAATTCGTTCCGGAGGTCCGTACTTAACCTGTAACTGTTCTTAACCTGAAGCACCACTTTAGCTAATGGGGCCTCCTGCTGCTGCCGCGCCGCCGGAGCACGATTTCTGTTCTCATCCTGAAGCAAAGTTCTTAACCTGAAGCACTATTTCAGGGTTAGCAGAGTCTGTAACCTGAAGCGTATGTAACCTGAAGCATATGTAACCTGAGGTACCACTGTAATTTAAAAATCCTTTAACAATTCAGACAACACAACACCACTTACAAAATGTATTTTAAAAAAAATTTTTTAAAGGAAAAAACAAATTCTGGAAAATTTCAGGTTTCAAAATACCACAAGGATGAGCTGCCCTTTCAATTAATATTTCGTGGAGGAGAAAAAAGATTGCAGGAAGGTGTGATTAACAGAGGAAGCATAAGGTGAAGAAAAAACTTTGTTTTGCTGAGAATAAGGACACCATATGACCTTCGGGGCAAAATACCACCCAGGGAGCTGGGAGCCAAAAATTATTAACATTAGTAAAACCTAAGTTGCTCAATCAATTGTGAACAATTTTTTTTTTTAAAAGAAGACAGTCAAAGTCACTTACATCAGTTTCAAATTACAAGGTGGTTAGTGAACTGAATGACTTAATGAGCTGATTTTGTGCAACCAAATGAAAAATTCCAGCAAGCTCCATCCCTATTTTCTGACGTAGTTATTCCAGTTCCTGAGAGTTCTTTAGAGCTCTTCCAGACACTAGAAACTGACATCCTAGCGGTTACTAAAAATTACAGTAGATGCTTGTTATGCATTAGTTTAGATTAGAACTTACAAAAATAGAACTTAACAATGGCAGCAAAGGAGATTTAGGGACCTGCTGATAGGTAACTTTACATACATGCTCAAAAGCAGAATTGCAAAATGTAGCTACAAAGGGACACTGCCACCACATGTATGAGACAGTGCTTTTCCAAACATGGGGTGTATTTAAACCACCAGAAGTGTTTGTTTGTTTGTTTGTTTGTTTGTTTGTTTGTTACTGTGTGCAAAACTAAAGTCATGTGTCTCTGCTCTAAGCACAATGATTTGGAAATAGGTGTAACTTCCTTTAAGCAAATGTAATTAGGATTTTCACCTCAATTAGTCCATTTGTTCTTACGGGAAGATGCTAACCTTTCCTACCATAGCTAACCAATGGTTACCAAATGTTAGGCATAGAACTTTGGATATGAACTCTCTCCCTAGGTTGGGATGTGTAGCTAAGCAGTTGTGCCCCAGCCCCTGTTGGTTGTCTTCCAGGTCATAGGCACACACATACCCAAACATGCATAAATGCAGAAGCAAAGAACCGCACTAGCACTTGGTGGTCTCAGTAGGGCACAATAATGAAATTACATCAACCCCCTGCTCCCCTAGTGTCTCCTTAATGTAATTGCTTCCTGCTTCTCTCATGGGATGTTGTGATAATGAGATTTCAGAACAAGTGCTTCTCGCAGGGTCGCCATGAGATTTCAAAGATGGTAAAGAAACCTAAAATTGAAATGCTACCTACATGAGCACATGTACTTTCTGTTAACTAGAACTTAGGAAAATTTTACGCCATTGTAATTTTCACTCCTTACATTTTGGATTGTTCTGCACATAGAATCATAGAACTCTAGAGTAGGAAGGGACCCCAAGGGTCATTCAGTCTAACCCTCTGCAATCTCAGCTTAAGCATCCATGACAGATGGCCACCCAGCCTCTGCTTAAAAACTTCAAAGGAAGGAGAGTCCACAACCGCCTGAGGGAGACCTTTCTCTTTTGAAGCAAAGGCAGCACTGAAGAACCATACAAAGTTTACATTTATCTGTATTAGAGTTTCCCAAACTTGGGTCTCCGGCTACAATTCCCATCATCCCCTAGCTAGCAGGACCTGTGGTCAAGGATGATGGGAATTGTAGTCCAAAAAAAATACAGTGGTATCTTGGGTTAAGAACTTAACTCATTATTGAGGTCCGTTCTTAACCTGAAACTGTTCTTACCCTGAGGTACCACTTTACCTAATGGGGCCACGCGATTTCTGTTCTCATCCTGAAGCAAAGTTCTTAACCTGAGGTACTATTTCTGGGTTAGTGGAGTCTGTAACCTGAAGCGCCTGTAACCCGAGGTACCACTGTAAATGAAGACCCAAGTTTGGGAAACTCTGATCTAAATGTTACACTTATGTGTGTACAACTTTGCATTGAAGGAAGCGAAGCAGAAAGAGAAACACTCCACTTTAATAGTGACCCTGACAGACGATCTGTTAATTCCAAACTGGTTTGCTGTTAGGGGCAAACAATATATGATGCTGAATGTAGGACTTGGTGTCATGCCTAGCTCTGACTGGGTGCCAGGCATGCAAGGATGAACTAGACGCCTTACAAGACAAGGACCTTGAAGAGCAGGCAGGGCCCACTGAGTTCCAGGTTCTCTGAATTGATACCTGAAGGCATGTCAGAGGAGGAGGTGGTGCCATCCCCCAATCCTTGAGAGTGCTGGTGCCAGAAGCTCGGGGTCCAGGCCGAAGAGTGATGAAAAGTATCTAGGGACCCCAGAGTCAGTACGCTACCTATGAGTAGGGGGTTTACAGGTGTATAAGCAATTACTGATACTCCTTCACTGCCAGCAGCTGTGGTTAGGCTGCAGTTGAGAAGGCCAGAGTATATATAAGGCCTCTCTCCCAAGTCTTCCTGTTATTGGAAGCATCCCAGGGATCTGGTTAGTTCCCGCTTGCTGTGTTGTACCTTGTGAGAGAAACCTTGGACTGTTTGTGGCCATAGCATTGGAATCATGATATGTCTTAAATGGACGCTTGGTTTGTTTGGACATGGTTTGTATGGTGAGAGGCAGGGCTTTTCTTCAGCCGGAACTCACTAGAACCCAGTTCTGGCACCTCTCAGGTGGGCGCCATTACCATTATAAGAGAAGCAATGATTCTTCAACATCAGTTTCGTTGGAATGGTCATGTTGTGTGGATGCCCGGTTATCGTCTTCCAAAGCTGCTCTATTCCGAACTTAAAAATAGAAAGCGTAATGCTGGTGGTCAACAAAGGAGGTTTAAAGACACTCTCAAGGCAAATCTTTTAAAATGTAGTATAAACACAGAGAACTGGGAAAAACTGGCCTGCAAGTGCTCCAATTGGAGAACGGCCTTTACCAAAGATGTCGTGAGCTTTGAAGACGCTTGAACTCAGGATGAAAGGGAGAAATGTGCTAAGAGGAAGGCATGTTTGGCAACCCCTCACCGTGATCAACTCTTGCCTGGAAACCAATGTCTCCACCGTGGAAGGACGTGGGAGTCCAGAATTGGCCTCCACACTTACGGACTCGCTGTTAAGATTGTGTTCATGGAAGACAATCTTACTCAGCTTCAAGGGATCGCCAAAGAAGAAGAGAAAACGGGAGGCGTTCATGAAGAGTTTCGGCACCTCTTTTTCTTGAAAAATAACACTGGCGAGCGGCTTACATCCCCTGCAAGCCAAGGGGACCACCAGAGTGCGGCACTTTGGAGTCCTAGAGGGTTTGTGTTTTTTGGCACGGCGGTAGGGAGAGAAATGGGGTGATTTTCCTCAGGAATTATGTGCACCAAGCGCTTCCATTCTCTTTTATTTCTCTGGAGGCAGGTGGCAGCGGCCTTGTCTCCAGCCGCAGTGATATTATCATTACAGCTAAGGGCCAGGAGAGGAAGGCCCGGCCCGGTGGGTTAAGATAGGTGAGGCGCCCCTCTTCCTCCTCCTCCCTCCCAAGCGTCGCCAGCCTCTGCGCCAAGCAGCGTAGAGCCGAGGCCCCTCTTCTTCTTCATTGCCGAGGCTGACTTCAGGGGTTTATATTTAGCCCATTGTGTCCAAAGGGAGACTGCAGCGCTCGCAGAACAGACCCGCCGCGCGAGCCCAGGGAAGGGGGGAGAAGGCGGGCGCCTAGGTGACAGAGACGGACGAGCCAGGTGGCGCTGCTTGCCGACTGCGCAGCGGCGGGGCGACGCGGGGAGGCGGCTGCAGGCGGGAGCCCCTCCAGGCTGCGGGCAGGGAGGCGCTGAAGGTGCCGGCGAGGCAGCGCCAAGGAGCAGCAGGCAGCGGGGAGGAAGGGAGCCGAGCCGAGCAGCCACCCACCGCGGCGGCGGCGGCAGCATCAGTAGCCGCCTGGGTCGGTGCCCTGGGAAAAGATGGTCGCTGCTCACACTTCCCATTCTTCCTCCTCCAGCGAGTGGATCGCTTGCCTGGATAAAAGGTACCACCGGCGCCTTTGTTTTGGGGTGGGGGTGAGGGAATGGGGTGCACCCTCCTGACTGGGTGTCGTCCACCTCTCCTCCTCTTATCCCTTCGCTACAGTCGTGGCCTATATAGGAATACATTCAACCCACGAAGCAGCTGGGTGGGAATATCGAAATCCCTGCGCGGGAAGAGGGCGGGGTAGTGGGTCTGCAGGGGACCCCCGTGTTTGTAAGCGGGGGGCAGCGCTTTCTCCACACGGGTGTATTATCGTGTGTCTGTGGAGAGGTGAGGACAAGCCCCGAGGGGACACGCGTTTCGCCTGGGAGATAATGCACGTGCCCGAGGAATAGGAAACGAAAGGGTTGTTCCCCACCCCCACCCCCGCACCCCATAGGAGCTTCTGGGTCCGCCTCGTGTCTTTCCCGGCCTCCCGCTGCTGCTGCTGGTGGTGGCTCCTGTGAGGGCTCTTGCTGCAAGGCCTGTGCATTTAGGCACTGCTGGCAAGGGAGAAACGGGGAGATCAATAATCCATCTGTGCATGAGCACCTACAGTACCTTGGAGATGGGTCACAAGACTTTGGGTGGGTGGGGTGGTTTCCCAGAAGGCATCTTGGTGGAAGATATGATCACTGTGTCCATCTATATTATTGTTATTGTTATTATTTATTTAGCATCTTCTGCATCGTAACATATATATATATGTGTGTGTGTGTATATAAATGTTACACTGCAGAAGATGCGCACTCTCTCTCTATATATATATACAGTGGTACCTCAGGTTACATACGCTTCAGGTTACGTACGCTTCAGGTTACAGACTCCGCTAACCCAGAAATAGTACCTCGGGTTAAGAACTTTGCTTCAGGATGAGAACAGAAATCGTGCTCCAGCGGTGCGGCGCAGCAGGAGGCCCCATTAGCTAAAGTGGTGCTTCGAGTTAAGAACAGTTTCAGGTTAAGAACGGACCTCCGTAACGAATTAAGTACTTAACCTGAGGTACCACTGTATGCGCTAACTTTTCCAGAATGATGTTTCAGTTGTGGGATGGTATATGAGTGTGTAAGAGAGAGGGAGACACAGTGAAGACATAGGCCATTGCATTATGCCTGGTCAGATTGTCCAGGGATGTCTAATCTGACTGGCAGAGAGACTCTCTGGGGTTTCAGGCAGACTGACCCCGTGGGTTGGGGGGAATGCTGTCCTTGAGAAGCCCTAAAAAGGTGATATTCATGTACATTCTGACTCCATATTCTTAATGTGTTGGTGTGGGTTGATTTTATTGTGTGGCTTGATTTCGTAGAAAAGCGAAGACGTACCTGCATTGGCGAGACGGACTTAGCTGGCCTTTTGGTCCCTGAAATGAGATGGTTCTGTATGAACTTGGGCTCCCTGGTGTATCTGTGTAGTGCGTTATACTGGTATACTATATACACATACCCTTTGTGGTATATTCCAAAAAATGATTCAGTCAAACAAGGAGGCCACTTGGCATCTCAGATGCTTGAAGACCACACACCAAGCTGCATGCATGTAGCTGCTCACAACATGGATCCTATTGCTCACCACGGTGGATTTCACCACCCCATCGCAATCCACAACAACTGTGGTTAGTGAGGTGGAATCGGCATATTGGTGTGGTGTGAGGAGTTATGCAGGAGAGTCTTGTCTCCAAGGCCCACCTGCAACCGTTCTCGGTTTTCAAGCAGACATGGCAGGGTCACTTGTTCCAGATGACTGGCCCTCTGGCTTAGAGCAGGGGGTTCCCAAACACTAGCCCATGGGCCGCTGCTTCATTCAGGTAGTTCAGTGTGTCTGTGAATTTGTGGCTGAAGTCAAGAGATGGCACATCCATCGTATTAAATATATTGATTTGTAATTGTATATTTTTCGCTGCTTTTATTCCTTACGCTGTTTTATGACAAATGCATGTTATACAATAAAATGAAGCCTGTAAGAAATGAAAGGAATAAAAAGACAGCGTTGAAAGGAGTGTATCTGGCACTGCACATTACAATTACTACAACGGGTGTAAAAATCTGCCAAGACCTGCAGCAATTTGCAAGTGGTCCGTGGTGGTGGTGGGAGTTCTTGAACCACTGGCTTAGTGCAGATGAGAATACCTTTATTCCACAATCAGTAGTTTAAATGACTACAGACCAGTTGCACTGACTCCAATCATCATGAAGTGTTTGAGAAACTGGTGCGCCGTCACATTATTTCCTGTCTTCAATCAACTTTTGACAACTACCAGTTTGCATACAGAGCAAATAGATCCACAGAAGACGCCATCAATACCACTCTCCATGCTGCTCTGTCCCATCTGGAGCAGCCGGGGAGTTATGTGAGGCTGCTGTTTGTGGATTTTAGCTCTGCTTTTAACACTATCCTCCCCCATAGACTGGTGTCCAAGCTAGAGGCGATTGGACTCTCCAACTCCACCTGTCTCTGGGTTTTGGATTTTTTGTCAGAACGTTCTCAGAGGGTTAGAGTAGGGTCACATATGTCCACAGCCCTTAGCCTTAACACCGGCTCACCACAGGGTTGTGTGTTGAGTCCCCTGCTCTATGCTCTCTATACGTATGACTGTACAGCCATTTATTCCAGCAACAAAATCATCAAGTTTGCTGATGACACTACGGTGGTAGGGCTCATTTCAGGAGGGGATGAGTCCGCCTATCGGGACGAGGTGGAGCGGCTCTATGTTTGGTGTGGAGAGAACAATCTGGCTCTTAATACGGCTAAGACCAAGGAATTGGTGGTGGATTACAGGAAAAAAAAGGCGGACATTCAGCCCTTGTATATCAACGGGGAACGGGTGGAGAGGGTGGCGGAATTCAGGTTTTTGGGAGTAACTATCGATCAGGGCATGACTTGGAGCGCACATACCACTGCTCTGGTGAAGAAGGCCCAGCAGAGAATTTATTTCCTCAGACTTTTAAAGAAGAACAATCTGAGTGAGAGACTGCTGGTGTCCTTCTACCGAGGCTCCATAGAGAGCATTCTTACATACTGTATTTGTGCTTGGTTCTCCAGTTGTACAGCTAGGGAGAGGAAGGTGCTCCAGAAGGTCATAACCACAGCCCAAAGGATTATTGGTCATCCTCTCCCATCTTTGGAAGAACTGTACGGTTCCCGTTGTCTTAGGAAAGCAAATAACATCCTGAAGGATTCATCTCACCCGGGACACAGTCTGTTTGCACTACTGCCTTCTGGCAGGAGATATAGAAACATCAAGTCAAAGACAAATAGACTGAAAAACAGTTTCTATCCAAGAGCTGTGGCCTTTTTGAATGCTGTAACTCGATAGTGTGACCTGGGAGTTTGATGGGTGTTGGTGTGGGTGTGGCTGGAATGTGGTTTGTTTGGTTGTTGTTGTTGTTTTGCTTTTGTTGTTTTAAGGGATGGCATCCAATTTCGTTGCACTTTGTGCAATGTTGCACTTGTGTAATGACAATAAAGAATCTATTCTATTCTATTCTATTACTGCACCCACCAATACAAGTATGCCAACTCTCCCCTTGTCACTTCCATTTTCTCTGGGGATTTGAATTCCCATTTTCAAAACCCCCGAGAGTTAACATCTCCTCTTACCTGACTACATTCCTGGAGACTTATCCTTTCTCCTTCACATGAAAGTGAAAGATCTCTCTACCTCATGTCAGTAAAAGCCAAGTTGGTGACAGAATGACTCTCATCACTTCATTCTCTTCCCCACCTTAAAATGTCTTAAATGATTTCTTCATCACCATGGACCGCAAATGTGATTGTTCCCGGATGCTGGCAGGCAGGGTAATTTCACATTGGATCTGATTGTAGGTTTGGCAGTAAACAATACGTTGTTAGTCACTGTTCATTAACACTGATTGATGGGTGAAAAGCGAGTAGTAAAGCAACATTTTTTCTTAAAGCACCTGAATTATTCTTGGGGATTGTTTACAGATGGCAAAAAAAGGACTAGTGTGATCTCATCCTATCACCGATAGTCACATGATAGGCATCTTGCAGTGTGCACCATTCATGACCTTAGCTGATCATACTGATTGTAAAATTGATTTCAGTAGGTTATATCTCTTCAGCTGTTTCCCTAAATTTATTGTTGAGCGTTTTTCAGGTAAATGGTGCACATTTATTCAGGAGTATGGCTTTCACTGAGTATGGCATTCACACCAAGCCTTTGCTTCCCCTAAAGTATCCTGGGAAGTATAGTTTTTAAAGGTGCTGGGAATTGGCTCTTTGAGGGAATAAACTGCAATTCCCAGTATTCTTTGAAAGAAGCCATGTGCTCCACTCTAAATGCGCTTTGAGTGTATTGTGTGTATGCAGCCTTCAAAGCACATTTAGAGCACATAGCTTCTTTCAGCGCATGGTGTTTATGCAGCCTTCAGTGGGGCTTACTCCCAGGTAAGTGTGTATACTGTGTGTGGCATTAAGAGTTAAGGCCCTGTGCAGCGTATGGGATTGCAGCCTACAGAGTCGTGCCTCATACTGTACAGATCCGAAAATGCCAGAGAGGGAGAAATAATGTGAGACAAGGCTGTGGTGTGAAGAAGGCCTATGATAATAGCAACCTCACAGAAGCTAAGCTGGTATGAGTCTGATGAAGACCTCCTTGGGAGTTCTGCATGAGTGCTGTTGAAGAAAGGCATCTTATCAAAGAAATTGCTTTCCAGGCTAAACAGCACAGCTGTTATTTTTTGCTGACAGTGACTTGCTTATAGCCACACCTAATTTAGCCCGGTTTGGTACCAAAAGAACAGGTACCTTTCCACCCAGCCCTTCATGTCTCAAAGAGGGAGGCTGCTAGGTTGTAAACTCTCTTGTCTCCAGAGTGGTGGGCAAATGTCTGTCTTGTAGGAACTGCTTCGTAATTTACTAGAACCTTGAGGCATGCCTGTCAAAGCCATATTCAAAATGGTGGCACAGTGAGCAAAGCTGATGGGCTACTGCATCCCAATTGAAATAAATAAAAGCCGCCTCAGAAGATCTCAAAACCAGGGCAGGCTTGGATACCCTGGA